AGGTCTTTGCATCTCTTGAGGAACAACTGGGGACAGCTGCAGAGGATGGAAACAGGAATGCTACAATTAAATTATTGCTGCACTTACTGGTATTCCATTCTGAAAACCATCAGCAGGTCGCTACAAGGTGTCCTGCAACAGCAGACTCAGCAAAGGAAGTTACTCACAGTTTTCTTACAATACCACCAAATCTGCTTTTAAGTCAGGTTTTCCAGCAAAATAACAGGGAATGCAATGTACCACCAACAGAGCAATGCTTCATATGCATTTCTAATACTACTTTGGAGTCAGATTCTAACTCAAATTAGCCCAAATTATGAGTGGCTGCTCTAGGAGACATATTTATCCCACTTTCTCCCCTGTATGGAAGGCACCAGGAGAGATTTTCCACCGTTGCCCTGAGCCAGTTAGTTGAAATTCCTGCCAAGCTGTATCCTGCCATGTCTTTACTTCATGCATTTCCATATTTTGGAACAGCCTTTTTTGAGGTTTTATTTTCACCCAGCGGAAAGTTGCCAAAGGACGTATCTGATTCTACCATTTATCATCTCCTGTGGAAAAACGGGCTTGGATCCCTGTATTAGTCTCAGATATCACAACTGAAAGTAAACACACTGCGTACAAGATGCACTGATTTATTAATAGAATAAAACTGAAATGTAGTGACAAGATTTTCCACTGTTCAAGCCATAGAGACAATCACTGTCCCATTTATAGACTCGGAGGCGTCATTCAGCAATTCATTCATAAACTCACACCCAACACGTCCAGGTCAGGTATTCCAGGAACCATTCCCACACTTCCCTGGTATCCAGAGGTTAACTGTGAGTGCAGAGTTTGCAGCTGCAATCAGTCTGTGGGAGATTTTCCTATGTTCTCTTTTAATTCCTGAGGCCTTCTCCACCTGGAATAGCTTTTTAAAGCCTTTCAACAGCAATAGAGCAAATGAGTGAACTTCTTTGGAGTACTAACCTGCTCTTCAGGCAGGAAAATGCATTACATGTTTTACAAAAATAGGCTTATTTCCAATATACTGTGGGGATTATTCATGATGAAATGAATTGTTGGCTAATTATGGCTAATTATTGGCACTTTGAGACAACTACAACAGAGAAAAATCTCTGCAATGGAACAGCTTTAAATGCAAAACACTCTTTTGTGTGTTTCTATTTCTACATTCTGCAATGTCTTAAAATGTAACTCATCCTTTTTGTTAGGCCCTAGCAGCTGTGATTTCATAGCTAATGGTGTTATCAATGTACAGCTTCATGATTCAGCACTGTCTGAAGGGAAGTGATAAATATGAGGCATTACAACTGACTTTGCAGTTTGCCTCAATATGTAAATTTCCCTTAAATCAGGAAAGAGTAACCCCTGTAAAGGCAATTAATGTCAGCATTTGGGTTTGACAGCAGGAGAAACTGTTGGAAAATAATCCCTTATGGATACAAAGGAAGACAAACATCCTATTGCAGTTGTCAGAATGTGCTCTGAAGCAGACCCAGGTTTCTCCTGTAGGTATCTTTCTCTTGCACACTGCTCAGAAAAGGCATCCTTGAGTATCAAAAAGCTGAAAACCTTTGGACAAGCCCTACTGTTCACTTCCAAGTGTCCTGTTTCAGGAAGGTACAAAAGCCCTTGAGAGCTGGGCAGTAGAACATGAACGTACACCAGAATGATGATAGATGATGAACCCCAAATGGGTCTTGTGGAAAGAAAAGAGCCTTTAAAATTTGGAAACAATAAAAAGGAAAAGAGAAATGGAGTGCATATTACTGGCACTGCTGAAGCCCAGATAAAACATACAGCCACAAGCCTGCAGAGAGCACCTCATCCACACCACTGGCTTATCTGCATCCAGCAGTCATGTGGCAGGACAAGCTGGGGAACTTCCTGAAGTCACATTTACTGCCTGAGTTTGGCTGTCCATGTTGGAGAGGGATTTGGTCCTGGGGTTTTGAGACTGTTCAGAAACTGCAGGAGAAGCAGCAGCAGCAGGGTCAGCCTGCTGGCTCTCCTGCCCCACACCGCTGGGAGCAGGGTTCTCCTGGGCTGTCCCAGCGTGGCTGTGTGCCTGGCTGCATTGTCTCCCTGCTTCTGCCTCCTGCTGCTGCAGCATCTGTTCCACCTCGATCTCCAGCTCCAGATTTTCCTCGTCTGCCTCCACGTCCAGCTGCTGCATTAGCTCCTCCAGCTTCCTGGCCTTGCGGAGCTCGTTCTGCTGGATGATGGTGCACAGGTGCTCTGTCAGGTGCTCCTTGATCTCTGTCTTGTGCTGCAGGTCCAGCTTGGCTGCCACGTACTCGGACTCGGCCTTGTCGTAGCGCTTCCTGCAAAACCATCAGCATTTCTGGGGGGTTAATTCTCACTGCACCTCACACTCTGACACAGGCATGGGTACTTTAAGAAGCCCTGCAATGCATTGTGCCAGCTGCTCCTGACATGCTGCCACATTAGCAAGAGGGAAGAAAATGAGAGTGAATTGATCAAAACTTCTCTGGACACTGGGGCTCTGCTGCTGTGTACTGCAAGAGTTAACTTGCTCAGACTGCATCTCAAACACCCATTTTTCCTGCCTGTTTGAAGAGATGCATCACTGGCAGCAGAAAGAAGCCATCAGAAATGGCAGTGCTTTCACACTTTTCACACTGACAGTGTTTCACACTAATGAACACCCACCCAGTGAACAGAAACACCACAGAGCAGTCAAGTGTTTTTCTAACCCAACCACGCCCCCACAGATACAGATGCTCATGGAGCACGTTGACATTTGGATCATGTGCTTTTCTGGCCACCCAAATCCATGTTCAGAAAATCAGGGGCAGCACGGACTGACACAGCACGTGACATCAACACAGATGTAGAATTTTATTGCAAGCATCCGTCCCAACACTCACCTCCTGCCAATTTGCACTTCCTGTCATGACAAACACAGCAAAAAGGGAATATTCCAAGTATTTATTGAGTTGACAGACAGAGAATACTAGCACTTTTAATGGCTGGTGCTCACATTAATGATGCATCTTTCACTACATCAGTGAACCGGTTTTATTGCAAGCATCCGTCCCAACACTCACCTCCTGCCAATTTGCACTTCCTGTCATGACAAACACAGCAAAAAGGGAATATTCCAAGTATTTATTGAGTTAACAGACAGAGAAGATCTAGCACTTTTAATGGCTGGTGTTCACATTAATGATGCATCTTTCACTATATCAGTGAACCTGCGTATTAATTCTAATTAAAAGATAGATGCAATCTTGCTCATCAGGAAAGGAAACACACAAAGGCTTTTGCAGCCTGACTACAGAGCACTCATAAAACTAGTATTAGTAAGGTTGTTGAATAAAGAATCCAGCTCTTTTACAAAACCAGATTCCAGTATCTGCCTTAACAAAGCAACAGAAAGATGGGACAGGTCCTTTGCTTAGTAAAACAGAAGGAAATAAGACACAGAAAAACCTTCCCAATTATCTTCTTTTATATAATAATCACATTACTTTTGCACAGCAGAAGATGCCCTCTTATGTTTCCTCCTCAAGAAAGCCAAGATTCCTCTGGGTCAGATACATGAAGTGGCAAAACCAATGCTATGCTGGAAACATCTGCACAGCTAAACCTCTGGGCTGAATTCCCACCTATTAGTCACATTGTATTTACAAAAATTCTATTCCACAGCAATTGTCAAATGTTGCTAACTAGATATGTACTCAGGACTATTTAATATTGCACTTTTAACACACTGAAATGCTTTGTGTTTTAGCCCTAGAACAAAAGGCAAATAATAAGAAACTGCTTTAAAGGACTCCACTTAAAAGTAAATTGGCTTTGGCTCTTAAGAACTACAACACTGGAATTATCTACCTCACATTCCCAAATCCCTCCTTCAAGAAAACACCTACTAAATTAATGAAAGTCATTAGGATTTTAGTGAAACTTGTCCTACTAGCATCTCCTTTTGCTATTGTCATTAAAAACTGCTTTCCTAATGTCAAGAGCTGCTTGTGCTCTTCAGCCAGTAAGCATTTAAAATAGATACATTATTACAAAACTTGGGTAAGAAGATTTCAGAAGCATTTCATGTTTTTAGAAACCAGATTATACCTAAAATCCATTGAAATGTTTTTCCTCTTGAAGACATTGAATTCTGGGTTCACATGCAATCAGCTACACTAACTACAGTTAATCTTAGACATTTCAAATTATAATTATACCAAAGAGATCTTAATTATTTTAGCTACCACTGCTATTTTTTCAAGACTAATTACCAGCTTTATTGGCCTGTGGTCATGGTATGGCAGAAGTCAGAAGGAGAAATGAGCATTTAGCACACTGGATGGCGAACCAAAAACCGCGAGTGAACGTTTCTGCTTTATGAACCGGCTGCACAAACATGCTGCTGTTTATCTACTGATGTTGTGGTTTACCCACAGCTAATGGGGTGCTCCCATTCATTCCCTGCCTTTAAGGAACTCATCACACCCACAGTGATTAAAGGCACATTGTGAAGGGTTAAAAGCTTCCCTCTTCCTTCAATTTTTGGTCCTAGTTGCAAAAATTCTTTAGCAGGATTATATGTTTTAAGCTTAATTGGTCCCGTTGATTCCAACAGGACCAGAGCTGTCATGAACAAGCAAATTTCCCTGAGCAAGATTTCCATTTCAGGACTTTTCAAGAAAAACCTGTTTCCCCCTGAGAAGAAATCAACAACCTTGAAACAATAAAGCAGGGCTTATGGACAACTGCACACTTAAAACAGGACCTGCGTCTCATGACAGCAATCTCCAGTCAGAAAACCTGCTTCAGTTCCCAGATTCCAAGGGAAAATTAGGAAATGAAAAGCATACTTTTACTTCCAGATCTGAAAGCCCCCCAGACTGTGACCACTTCAGCTACACGTCATTACAGTGACAGGACTTCATGAGTGCTTCAGTGAGAGGAAAGGCATTTTCCCCTCCCTGAGCAGGGCTGCTCCCTGTCCCCTCCCGGGTGCCACTCACCGCGCGTAGGAGTAGTCCAGGCTGGCCTGGTCGATGCGGTTCCTCAGGATGCCGATGTCAGCAGACACCATGTCATCCAGAGCCTGCAGCTCCTTCTGAATCCTCTTCAGTTTCACTGTTTCTGCTTGGGTTCTTTTGGATCTGCAAAAGGAAGACGATTTTTTTTGTTGTTGTTGTTGCTTTAATTTCCTTTTCAAGCCTCTCTTCTTGACATACTGGGCCCCATTTCACTTGCAGAGTGACTGACCTCTGTAGGACCTGTTGAGGAGGTTTCTCCTTTATGGTGTAGGGCTTTTGATCTTTTTTAGCATCCACAGGGATCTAAAATGCCTGCTATTAAAGGACTATGGCAAAATTATGTAATGACTATAATCAAAGTGCCTAAAATGGATTGTGTTTCTTCACTGTGGAAACACACAAGAAGCTGCTGTATCTAAGTAGTTCTCAGTGTAAGGAAACAGGAAATGGCTTGGGGGGAAGTGAGAGGGGGAAGGATTTTCAGTCCTGCAAATATCCTCTTTCAAAGGAGCCCAGTTAGTAGGGGCCAAAAAGTCACCTAACCTAAGCTTGATTTCCATTTTGTAAAATTATTCCCAAAAGGCCCAGCCAAATCCCAATGAAGTGAATGGAAAGTTTTACATTAAACACAAAGGATTTCAATCAAGCCTTGTGTAACCTTTTTCAACTAGGCCATTCATTCCTAAGTCCTGAAAGTGAAATGTTACTAAGGGCAACAAGCTTTGATGGATTTCACTCCCAAGCAAGCCAAGTGACTTTCCACAAGCTTTTACACCACGTCACTTTGCCATCATTCATCACCTCCAGCAAAATGGTGCTTCTCAGCCACTGCTTTGGACCCAAGACAGGTCTCTGAAAGCAAGACTGGCTGTGCAGGCAGTGCCAGCATCTCTCATTTGACCAGCTGATGCAGGTGGAGGGACACAGACATCCTGTGCTATTGCTGGGAGCCTGAGGAAGGCCTTTGAGTGACAGAAGTCACTCCTCAGCTGTCACCTCCCATGTCTTGTCTCTCCTCAGGCTTTGTTTCCAGGAGGAAGAACCAGACCTGGTGGCCACACCCATGTTTGATGTCCTGCAGTGACTCACAATAAAGGTGCTTGTGTTTTATCTCTGCCTGGCAAAGGAAAATGACATTTTCAGGACTCTAGCACAGTACAGGCTGTGTTCACCTGTGCTACCCAAGGGCTCTGATGGGCAGAGCACAACACATGCCTGGGAGAGCACTGCAAGCCTGAAAACTTCACATCACTGTCCCTGATCCAGTGTTATCAGCTGTTCCACCAAACTTTGCCTTCCCTGGAACCTTAAACTACCTCAGTGCCATAAAGCCTGGTCTTCTGAAGAGCAAGAGCTAACAGCTGTGAGAATGTGTAATTTTATAATTTCTAGCCACCAGTGGTAAAACAGTACCTTCTTAAAGCTGGTCATCTTGTCTTTTCAACATTTTCACACACTAATGAACCAAAAGTCCAAACAAATAGCTTCGTTTCACAGGTTACAAATCAACTTCCCTTACATCCAGCAAAAACAGATCAGGACCAGAACACGAACAAGCATCTGAGCACCCCAACCTTCCAAACACGACCTCACTAACAAATTTAGGGACTTCAGCTAATCCTCCAGTTGTGTAATCATCTGCACACAGAGCTGCAGCTTGGGAGGTGTGAAAGGCTTAGTCACAACTTCTTAGCCAGCACTTGTCAAAGGGAAACGTCCATCACAGCTGCTCATAGAGCACAGAGAAGAGGAAAAAGTGAAATTTAACTCAAGATATGAAACTGGCTGCAGACGAAGAGTCAGCCCTGCCCAGGCTCAGCCCCACCTCTCAGCAATGGCTCTGGCCAGGAGTGCCTTCTTGCGTTTATTCTTCTCTTCTATCAGCCGCTGCTCCTGCTGGAGGATTTCCCATCGGGATTTTTCCTGCCTGCTCAGTGACAAGAACACCAAAATTAACAGAGAGGTCATTGCTCTCCCTGCTGCCCACATTGCAACACAAATATTCACCATCATACATTCTGGAGCCAACTCTTAGAAAGTAGCAGGAACAATAAACAGGTTTTGGTTCTGAGGAAGGAACAATCACCTGCAAGAAGTCATTCAGACCAATAAAACATTTCCAGATGAACTCTCCTGATCAGAACTAAAATCTGCATAACCAAAAAGTGCAAAGAGCACTTTTTCAGAATTTTTCAAGTAAAGGATGTGCTTCCCTATCAGGTAAAAGCAGTTTCAAGTTTCTTACTGGCTGCTGTCACCATCTGTTCAGTCTGCCAACACAGCCTCTTTTTTGGAAATGTTTTTTCCCATAAAACAGATTCTTTCCCAGGTCTGCTTTATAGTACAGCCCCCAAATAATTAAATGGATACAAATGAAAGGTTGGTACGAGTTATAATGAAAACAAGCAGCAGGGGAGAACAAGAATTTGCTTTTGCCACCAGTGAAAGACTGATACAGATTCCATTTCCTGGGCTACATCTCCTAAGAAATACAGCCATCCCAAAGGATGGAAGGACAGGTGTCAGTGAGGGGGCACAACCTGTGGCAGGATTTAGGAGAAACAAAGAACTGTTTGCTGCTTTCCACCCCTCTGTTCTTCATGCCCTCACTCAAGGAGCCCAAACTTAAAAATACCCAAATAACTCAGCTGCTAACAAACATTTCTGCACATCTCTTCAGATTTGTCCTCATCCCCCTATTCCTAAGACCTCACCTACAGAAATACTTTTAGTAAGATTGAAATTCAAGCATCCAGGCTGGGAAGAATCCAGCAGATTCAGGAGGTGACTGTTGCAGCTAAATGTCATCTGCTTTCACCAGTGTGAAAAAATTCCAGCTGTTTTCTCCCCAGACAAGCAGTGTCTGTGTTTTTCCCACCACAAAAATGAGATGAACAGCCAGTCCTACTGGTGAGCTGCACCCACAGGAGCAATTTGAGTTCTCAGAGGGCTGCCCTGGTGCAGGGAGTGCAGGCAGGTGATCCCAGCCCGGAGCTGGGCAGGGAAATCACAGCCAGCACACCCAGCAGCCTCTCAAGGCCCATCTCTGCAAAACAGAACCTCCTGGATCCTCCCGAGTTTAGACTCTTAGAGAAGCCACTGCTGCTTCTCCACACAGATCCTGCCTCATAGAAATTGGAATTATTTCATCTCTCAGAGCTTCCTATCAGACTTGAAGGCAAAGTTGAGTTCACAACTAAAGAACGAATCAGTACAGAACAGCAAACCCCACCCCTTGATGTTACCGACTTACTAACAATTCCACTTTCTTTCTCTCCCCTTGGCTGCTGGGCTTTGTGGGGCGGGGCTGGGCACTGTCCCTGCCATTCCAAGCCTCTGCCGGTGTCACTCCCTGCGGCTGCTCTCCCCTTGGGTCACCCCCAGGCGCTGGCCCGGGCTGCTGCGGGTCACCGGGCTCGGGCTGTGGAGCCGAGAGCCGCTGCTCGGGAGTGAGCGAGGCCGCTCCTCCGTGCAGCCCCAGCCTCTGGCTTTGCTGCTGCACGGCTTTCTCCCGTTGCAATTGCTGCCGGGTCTTGGGCACAGCCTGGGGGCGAGGCGGCGGCTGCTGCGGGGAGGGCTCGTACAGATCTGTAAAAAACAAACCTCAGTATCAAAGACACAGCTGTTCTGGGCAAGCAAAAACCAAAATAAGGAAAACACGAGGCAGGGCGTCACGGGAAGGCAATGTAGGGGTAGCCCCAAGAAGCTGGAAATGTTTGGTCAGCCTAAGATTCACGAATTTTCAAGGATACCGTTATCCCTAAGCGAGGAGAGGGAGCAGTAAGAGGCCTCAAAGAGAAACCATAGGTGGGAGTGAGGTGGCTCTTGGGATAACCACGACAGGGCAGATGTGGGGCTGTCCTGCCGGCCTGGTGGGCAGGCTGAGGTTATAGAGTGAAGAACGGGGAAGGAGGAGGTGACACGCGGGAATGAGGAGCCTGGGAACGCGAGGGGGGCGATCCCGGAGATCTGGCTGCAGGACAGGGGCTGGAGAGCCCGGGACTGGGGGATTTTTGTGGGAGAGGCTGCGGGAGGAGAGAGGGGCTGCATGAGGGGAGCAGGGAGAGATGAGGATGGATGGAGAGACCCAGGGGCTGCCCGGGGCAGGCGAGGGACTGCCGGGAACAGCACAGGCCTTGGATACGGGGATGGAGCGGGAGGGGACAGAGGTGTGGGTGGAGGGGCTGAGGGAAGGAATTGGGATGTAAATGGAGGGGCTGAGAGGAAGGACAGAGGTGTGGATGGACAGGCTGAGGGGAGGGGATGGAGGTGTGGATGGAGGGGCTGCAGGGAGGGATAGAGGTGTGGATGGACAGGCTGAGGGGAGGAATTGGGATGTAAATGGAGTGGCTGAGAGGAGGAACAGAGGTGTGGATGGACAGGCTGAGGGAGGAATCGGGATGTGAATGGAGCGGGTTAGAGGAGGGACAGAGATGCGGCTGGAGCGACTGAGGGGAAGCACAGAGGTGTGGCGGAGGCGCTGAGGGGAAGCACAGAGATGAGGCTGCAGGCGCTGAGGGGAAGCACAGAGGTGTGCCGGAGGCGCTGAGGGGAAGCACAGAGGAGCGGCTGCAGGCGCTGAGGGGAAGCACAGAGGTGTGCCGGAGGCGCTGAGGGGAAGCACAGAGGAGCGGCTGCAGGCGCTGAGGGGCGATGGCAGGCAGGTGCAGCTGCGGGGCTGACGCGGTGCCGAGGCGCAGGCTCTTCCCCCGGTCCCGGGGCTCCCGGCGCGGCGCGGTGCGTACCTGGGCGCTGCCCCCGCAGCCGCCGCAGCTCCTCCTGCGAGAAGCCGGCCCAGGCCTCGGCCATGGCGCTCCGTGCCCCGCCCGCCGCCAGGCCCCGCGCTTCGCAGGCGAACGCCGCGGACAGCGCGGCCGGGGGCCTCGCGGCGCGGCGCGGCGGGGCGGGGCGGGCAAGATGGCGGCCTGAGGGGGAAGGGAGGAGGGGATGGAGGTGGCCCGTGCTGCGGGAAAAGCTGGCCCAGCGGGCGCGTCCCCGCCGCCGCTGAGAACCTAGTGCCGTGAAAATCACAGAGTCAATTAGGTTGGAAAGGATTTCTGAGCTTATCGAGTCCAGTCTGTGAGCGAAAAGGCTCAGTGGGTCCCGGCTGATGAGGCTGAAATGGAGAGGGGATGTCGCTCCCGGAAAAAGCAAACAAACTTCAGTGAACATCACACGTACCCCATGCAACTTATGATTCGTGATTAAGTAGTTGTAAGCAGGTAAAATCCTACTAAGTTACAGTGACAGCACTGTGAGGAAATCAGAGAATCCCTGGATGCTTTGGGCTGAAAGGGACTTTAAAGTTCAACCAGTCGCAAACCCTGTGATGGGAAGGGAGATCTTCCACTAGACCAGGCTGCTCCAAGCCCTCTCCAACCTGATCTTGAGCATTTCCAGGGATGGGGCAGCCTGGTCTAGTGGAAGATCTCCCTTCCCATCACAGGGTTTGCAGCCTGTGCCGGTGCTTCACCACCTCACAGGAAAGAACTTCCCAATATCTAACCTTGATCTCTCCTCTTTTGGTTTAAAACCATTCTCTCTTGTCCCATCACAATCTGCCCATTTAAAAAATCACTCTCCCTCTTTTTCTGTAAGCACTGGGAGGCCATCAAGGAAAAATACAATTTTGCCCATACAGGTGTTTTTTAAGATCTGTTTTGGCCACTGTGCACAAGAGTGCACACACTCGCTTTCACCCTTAGGTATAAACTGAAAAGACCCCACAATTTACAGCATTATCCCTCAGAATCCATGAAAAGAAGCATTTTCCTGCCTATCCCAAGCTCCTGTGGCTGCTGCAAGTCTGTCAGAGGATGAGCTCACCTCGCACTGGGACACAGCCAGCGGGAGCACGAAGGCACGAGCCCTGCTTTGCTGCAGCATCCCGGCGGCCTGGAGGCTCAAACAACCCCTGACGGGCAGTAAACCACAGCCCTGCCCAGCTCTAATCTGTGAGGGATTAGTCAAGCTGGGAGGCTCAAACAACCCCTGACGGGCAGTAAACGGGGATGTTTTCAGCGCCGCAGCCCTGCCCAGCTCCAGTCTGTGAGGGATTAGTCAAGCTCCAGGCACTGCTGCCTCCCCGAGCAGATCCACGGCTCCGTGCATCTGTGAGGGATTAGTCAAGCTGCAGGCACTGCTGCCTCCCCGAGCAGATCCACGGCTCCAGGGCCGTGCAGGGCTCCGCGATTTCCGCGGCCGTGCTTCCTGCGGCTCCCGTGACTAACGCGTCCCCTGAACTCCCCTGAACACCGCTCGGAGGGGAATGCTCCCCGAGCTGGCTGTAAAATGTTTCTGAGGGGTTTGAGTGCCTTGGGGGAACGTGAGTGCCACCATCCCTCACCTGCAGCTCGGCGCTGTCTGAAGTTTCCTTCCTTTGCCTGATTAAACTGACAGTCCCCTGCTGTTTGTGTTTTGCACTTTTGGGATCAGGCAACAAACCATCACGACCTCACTTGCCCTAGCAGATTGTGCCACGTTGGTGCCAAGCAGAGATGCTGATGGAGCAGAGGAGAAGGAGAGTGTGGTGATCTCATGCAGGAAGTCTTTCCTGGGTAAGCCTCGGGCAGAGGGATGCCCAGCAGCCCTTCACACAGGATGATGGCTTCTCTGGGAAACCTGACTGAGCACAGGAGACATCTGAATGAGAACCATAATCCAACCCTGACTGAAACGCTCTCAAACTCCAGGGAGTCCAGATGGCAGAACCAGGTGTCAGCTTGAATTTTACAATGGAACAGTCTTGGCCAGCCCTACAAGGGTTGGCTCACAACAAGGTGTAGGCACCTAATTCCCTTTGAGATGACTATATAAGAATCATGAGTCTAAATCTGGTGTCTAAATCACAGTAATGAGCTGTACCAAACCCAGAGATATCAGCTGAATGTGCTTCACCAAGTACAAACACCAGATCTCATCCTGAACCTCAGTTGTTCTTTCTTCTTGCAAGTTTTAGCACTACAAACAAAAGCGAAGCACCATATCCACTTTATTGCTGCAGATATTCCAGGCACAAAGCTCCCACGTGTTTTATAGGAAAAGTAGAAAGAGTTTGGAGTTGTTAACTGTGACGCTATGGGCAAGGCAGCAATCCCTGTTAACAGTTTCCATCAGCCCGAGGTTTAATTGCCAGCCATTGGGCCAGCTTGCTCCAGGAACAATTACAGCGCTGTGAAGTCATTTCACGGAGCATTTACCAACAGCAGGCTCAGAAAACAGAGGCTGGCCATGTTCTCTGGCTGATTAAAGTCCTGTGAGTGGAACAGGGCACTGAACGTTTGCCACCTAGGAATGAAGTGTTTTCCAGGCAAAGGCTGCTCCAGCCCAGGCTGGAGGAGGCAAGATTATGAGAAAGCAGAAACCTTTTTCACCTCCTGGGCTGACATCCCCACAAACCTTCCTCTGACATCTGGGGCTGAATTTGGGTCCTGTATCTTTTTGTGCTTCAAGAGCTGCTCTGCCACAAGCAGCCCTGGAGACCTCCATGAGTGCTGCATCCCTTTTCTCTTGGCCTAATTGCCCTGGACTCTGATGAGTTGAAGCAGCCAATGTTCACAAAAACATCTTTTCTGTGTAGTTCCCAAATCAACGTGGAAATGTCATCATGGGCTGGCAAATTGGGCTGCCCAGGTCAGAGCTCAGGGTCAGACCTCAGATGACATTTCAACCCAGGACAGGAGCAATTTGTACCAGGGCATAACATCAATTTGCATCGGTTTCATGCTGAAAACTTGTGGGGTTTTTAGGAGCCAAATCAGATCTTCTGTCAAAGGGCTCCCTGAGTTAGATGTATATTTAAAACTTCATTCTTGCACTGCTCTGCACACTGCCACAGAAACACACAAAGCAACATTTTCCCAGTAAAGGACTGAGCCTGATGTGAGACAGGGAAAGGCTTGCATAGGGAAGGAGAGCTTCCTTTCTGCTTGCATTTCAGACCCCATCATGAGCTTCCCAGGACTCTGACATATAATTCAAGAGACCTAGGGGAAAAAACATCATGAAAATAACAGAGCCAGAAATTCCTAAATCAATTTAGCCCTTTTTCTAACAAGAACAACAAAAAAAAAGATCTATCAAACTGTATCCATGTCAATGCTACCCCATCCTTTCCCAGACCATAACACAGGCTGGCTTAGGAAGAACCACCATGTCCAGATAAGCTATGGCACTATGTGAGCAAGGAGCAAGTCTTTTGTTTTGACAAAAACTCAGGATTTAATTTGTCCTTTAAAATCACTCTTGATATCCAGTAAAATTTATTTTGTTGATTTTCTGCTGGATCATCTCAGGCTTCAAAGCCTGAGATGAACAATTTAATTTCTTAGCAGAAGACTGAATTTAAAAGTACAGCATTATTCCTTTTCCTCAGTTTCTGTTCCCTTAACTGCCTGGTAAGTGGGATTAAGTCAGCACTGTCATTTCTGGGACCAAGGCAATCTTTTGGTTTGTAAGAATTTCATAGAGGAAAACCAAAATCCACTTATCTAAAGAGCTACTGAGTGAAAAAAAGTGACATAAAACTCTCTATTTTTCACACAAGATAAACCAAAGGTTTTCAACATCTTTTGATTTGTGGGTCTGTACACATTTTCTGGGGAAGAGGCAAACTTCCCAAGGGTACTCTGGGCTGTCAGCAGCCAAGCTGGGGGGAGCTGGTCCCACAGGGACTGCACAGCCCTGCAGGGCTGAACCTGCTCCTCTGCATCCCGTGCAGGGCTGGGTGTTTTTGCAGGACACTTCTCATTACAGTGATGTGTTTGCTTTGAAACTGAACCTCAAACCTCCTCAGCTTTTTAGGCTGCCACCCTGTGTTTTCATGTTTTAACTTTTGAGCTTTTACCTTAAGATAAGTTCAGCTTTCAAAAACTAAAATCTGAACTGGAAGGAAGCTCAGCATGCAATATAAATGTTTTGTTTTGGTTGTTTTTTTTTTTTTTTTTTTAATTCCTACTGATATTTTTGATTCTTTCTTTCTTTACTGTATTTAAGATAAATTTTCCATACAGACAAACATATTGTGTAATAATTCCTCATCTTAAAATATTTGTGTAAAAGAAAACCTAAACAGGATTAAACCCTGGCTAATTAAAAGCACCATAAAAAAACTGGTAAAACAAAATAAAATCCATTACTACCAGAAATATCCTGAAGATTATAAACTTACCATTTTGGCTGGCACAACTGGAGCCGAACATTAAAACAAGTGGAAATGAGCAATTACTGATATATATTTTTATATAGTTTAAGAAATATTGTTGCAGCTAATTCCTTTTAAAAGATACTATGAATCATTAAAATAATACTTTTTATAACCCCAAGTTTAATATTTCATGACAGTTCTAGAATGCATTTAATTGCATTGCCTAATGTAAAAGTCATAATTCAAGTCTTTATACAGAAAAACTAGAAAGCAATTGCTCTCATTCTAACCCTTTGTGTAAAAACTATAATCTAGCTGTCAAAACAGTTGATAAAACTAAAGATTTGAAGAGAAATTTGCTGAAGGTTTGTTATCTTTGGCATAACTTGAATGATTAGAACTGCTGCGCTAAACAAATTGAGTATTCATCAAACAAACTTCTTGTTGTTACACGCTCCAGAGAATGAACTGTGCTTGTTTAGTCTGGGTGGGAGAGAAGTGTGGGGGAGAGGACATGATAATCGTCTTTAAATATATAAAGCACAGCTGTAAAGATACAAGGTGATCTGTTTTAAGGGCCTGTGGAGGATAGAGGTGAAGAAGAAAGTGAGACTCAGGTTAGAGAGGAGGAGTCAGGGCACCAAAATGTGGAGAGAATTGACTGAAGACCACCACAGATTCTCCATTTAGGTAT